CCCTGGTTTAAATAGGGGCCCCTGGACTGTCCAAGGGGGCCCCCTGGTTTAAATAGGGGCCCCTAGACTGTTCAAGGGGGCCCCCTTGCTGTTTGCATTTGGGTTTGTGTGGCATGGGGGCCCCGAGCGTTTGTGTCTCTTTTTGATGTTTGTTTGATTATACCGAGCAACAAGAATAATAAATAAAAAACTAAAAATAATAAATAAAAAACTAAAAATAATAAATAAAAAAATATATTAAAGAAGAAGAAGTACAGGCATAGGGATGTGATAGCACGAGTAATAATAATAATAATAAATGTTAAGAATATCAATAATAACAAATAACAACAACAACAACAACAACAACAACAACAATAATAATAATAATAATAATAATAATAATACAGCAGGAAAATCAATAATAATAATATATTAATAGTAGAGGGATTAGTAGCTAATTATCTCTGATTGTCTCTGATACTTCTCTTTAATTGTCTCTGCTTGTCTCTATTTATTTTTATTTGCTTCTAACCCTTTTTAGTTGTCTTTAGCTGTCTCTGCTTCACTCGAATTGTTAATATTTTCTTTATTTATCTTTATTTATCTTTAATTATCTTTAGTTGTCTCTCTACTTGCTTATCTATTTGCTTCTACTTCTCTTTAATTATCTTTAACTGTCTCTAGTTGTCTCTGTCTCTCTTTAATTGTCTCTATTTATCTTTACTCGTCTCTATTTATCTATTTACTTATCTTTAATTATCTTTAATTATCTCTACTTATCTCTCTTCCTCTTTGAGTGTCTCTTCTTGTCTCTTACTGTCTTTATCTATCTCTAATTATTGTTTGTTATTCATCTCTAGCTGCTTCTATTTATATTTATTTATATTTACTTGTCTCTAATTGTCTTTAGTTATCTTTACTTATCTTTATTTATCTCGAGTTGTCTGGAGAAGGCTTCGGTGTCTCCGCAGACACCGCGAAAAGTAAAAGATATTTACTCCCCACAGTCACCCCACAAACCTACACACAAAAAGAGAGTAGCTGCAGCAGCAGCAGCGGCTGCAGCACTTAGAGCAGTAGTAGCTGCAGCAGCAGCGGCTACAGCACTAGCTGCACCAGCAGCAGCAGCTGCAGCAGCAGCTCTAGCAGGAGCGGCTGCAGCGGCTGTGACAGCTCTAGCAGCAACACTGCTGCAGCAGCAGCAGCTGCTGCTGCAGCGGTAGCTCTAGAAGCAGCAGCAGCAGCTGCTGCTGCTGCAGCAGCTGCTCCAGCACAGACAGAAAGAAGAGTATATAAAGCATCACGAGGGGACAGAGACAGACAAAGAGACAGACGAAATGAGCAGACACACTTACAGCCACCGCTTTGCATTCTTAAATCCTTTTACTCTCCCGCAGGAGACCCCACTACCTCCAAACCGTCGCTTGCGGCCCTCATTGCTGCTGCTGCTGCTGCTGCTGTTGCTGCTGCTGCTGCTGCTGCTGTTGCTGCTGCTGCTGCTGGATCGCCGTTTGGCGTAGGCAGCTGCGAAAGCGCTGCTCCATTGCCTTCGCCAGCAATCAACAGCAGCATCAGCATCAGCAGCAGCAGCGGGAGCAGCAGCAGCAGCAGGCGGAAGCGGCGTCACGTCTGCAGCAGCGTAGACTGTAAGGGTTCTGCTGCTTGGGTTTATCTCTACAACTTCATCAGCAGCAGCAGCAGCAAAATGAGGGTTGTGAGAAGCAAATAACACCGTTCCTGGGAAGGCCTTAAGAGCAGCAGCAAGTGCAGCAGCAGCAGCAGCATCTAAGTGATTCGACGGTTCGTCTAGCAGCAACGCTCCTGTGTCTCCTATCTGCAGCAAACCCTTACTAATACTAAATAAAGCTTTCTGTCCACCACTTAGCTGCCTTAGGGGGGCCCCCAAGAGGGGCCCCCTTAGCCCTACTCTTCCCAAAGCAGCACGTGCATGCGCATCAAGCGCTGCTTCATCCTCTGCTGCTGCTGCTGCTGCTGTTGCTGTTGTTGTTGCTGCTGTTGCTGCTGCTTCGTCTGACTGAGCAGCAGGGGCTGCAGCAGCAGCAGCAGCAGCAACAGCAACAGCAGATCGTAGCGCTTCGATGGGAGTTAAATCGAGAGGCAGCACATCTGCGTGGTGCTGCTGCAGCAGCAAAAGCGAAGAAGACAGTGACTGCGCACAAGTGCGCTCCCCGCTCGCGATCACAACTTCCGGCTGCTGCTGCTGCTGCTGCTGCTGCTGCTCGCCTTGAACATAACCTGCTAAGGCTTTTAGTAGGGTGGTCTTCCCGCTGCCGTTTGGCCCCACAATCGCTATCTTAGCACCCCGACGAACTATCAGAGTCACATCACGAAGCACTTCTTTGCCTTGCTGCTGCTGCTGCTGCTGCTCTTGCTGCTGCTGCTGCTGTTGGTGGCGGTGGTGTTGGTGCGGGTGCTGTTGCTGCTGCTGCTCCTGTTGGTGCAGTTGTTGCTGCTGTTGCTGATGCTGCTGCTGCTGCTGGGATCGGGAGGCGACACGAATAGTGCAGCCTCTTAGCGCGAGGATTTCTGCTGCTCGTTGCGGTGCATGCGGCAGCAAAAAAGCAGGGGCCCTCTCCACAGGTTCAGGAGAAGGAAGCTGCTGCTTGAGCTGCTGCAGCAGCGCCTCGTCTGCTGCAGTGGGGGGCCCCCTCTGTCGGCGCAGCTTCTGCTGCAGCTGCTGCAGCTGCTGCTGCTGCCGCCGCACAGCCGCTTGCCACTGCTGCTGCTGCTGCTGCTGTTGCTGCTGAAACGAAGCCAACGGCCCCACATACTTGGGGCCCAAGCAGCCTCGCCGCAGCAGCAGCACGCCGGTGCAGACCTGCTGCAGCAACAGCGAATCGTGCGAGGCGATAATCATAGGGAGGGGCAGCTGCTGCAGCAGCTGCTGCAGCGCAGCAGCAGCAGCAGCATCCAGATGGTTCGTTGGCTCGTCAAGCAGCAGCAGCGAGGGCCTCTGGCATAAGGCCTTTGCTAGCAGCAGCTGCATGCGCTGCCCCCCACTTAGGGTCGCTAGCTGCTGCTGCTGCTGCTGCTCTAACCCCACATGGTGCAGCACTGTGTCAATCCAACGCTCCTCTTCCCCTTCCTGCTGCTGCTGCTGCTGCTGCAGCGCAGATAGTTGCGCTGCTGCTGCCATCACGGCGCTCTCCTGCGTCTCGCTGCTGCGGCCGCTGCTGCTGCAGCTGCTATTGCTTTTGCTGCTGGGTTCATTCCCTTGGAGGAGGTTCTTCAGTGCGTCTTGCTGCTGCCGGATCTGCTGCTGCAGCAGCTGCTGCCGCTGCCGCAGCTGCGAGCGTACTTCTTCCTTCACTGTCTTGGAAGCAGCAGCAGCAGATAAACCCTCTAAGCCTTCTTGCTGCAGCAGCGCCACGCGGCTGGGGGAGCAGCGGAAATGAATACGCCCAGAGACATCTCCTGTGCTCATCGAAAAGGAGTCAGGCTCCTGCTGCTGCTGCTCCTGCTGCTGTTGCTGCTGCTGCTGTTGCTGCTGCTGCTGATGCTGCTGCTGCTGCTGTGGGGACATCCGCCGCAGCTGCCGGCGTGCTGCCTTGCTGAGGCGCTGACGCTGACCCCGCTGCTGCTCTGAGCCCCCATTTCCTGCATGCTGCTGCTGTTGCTGTTGCTGTTGCTGCAGCAGCTGCTGCTGCTTCAGCTGCTGCTGTTGCGCTGCAGCAGCAATTGCATTCAGCAAGGTTGTCTTTCCAGCCCCGTTGCTTCCTATGAGCGCCAGCTTCTCATGCTGCTGCAGCTGCAGAGACACCCGCTGCAGCAGCACAGCAGCACCTGAGCATACAGACACATCTTCGAGGCGCAGCACTTCGGCGCTGCCGCCTGCTGCTGCTGCTGGATCCTCTTGCTGCAGATGCTGCTGCAGCTGCAGGACAAGAGGGGAGCTGGAGGCAGTTGCTGCTCTTGTCGATGTCTCTCTCCTCGCTGTGCAACGGCCCAGCTGCAGCAGGCCGTTTCTGCTTGCTGCTGCTGCTGCTGCGGATGCTGCGGGCGATCTTGCTGTTGCCGCAGCTGGCGGCGCTGCCGCTGCTCGTGCTACTGCTGCAGCAGCGGGGGAGGGAAGCAGGAACGAGAGACAGCGCTTCACGCAGGTGGATTCCGCGCAAGAGCAGCAGCAGCAGCAACAACACAACAACAGCAGCAGCAGCAGCAGCACAGGCGTTGAGGTTGAGCGCCCAGCAGCACGCTGTGCGTCCATGAGTTAGCTGCACAAGGCAGCTGCTGCTTCTTCTGCTGCAGGTTCAATCTCCCGCTGCTGCTGCTACTGGAGCGTTTCCCGTTGCTTCCCGCTGCTGCTGCTGCGATCACCGCAACAGCAGCGCTGCAGCAGCGGCAGCAGCCACAGCAGCAGCTATGCAGTCGCCGCAGGGGTCAGAGGGCATCACAGGCTCTCCCTGGTCGCAGTCAATTATTGCTGCTGCTGACTAGCGGGTGTGTTGCTGTTGTTGTGCTGCTACTGTTGCTACGTTGCTGCTGCTGCGCTGCTGCAGCTGCTAAGTTGCTGCTGCTGCGCTGCTGTTGCAGGGCGAAGACACCCGATATCTCAATAACGTAATTCGCCTGTGTCTTTAAACGAGTTGCGTGTACACCGATGCATCTCAGTATTTGCTGTCGCTTGAGCAACTGCTGCTGCTGCTGCTGCTCCTGCTGCTGGTCCTGCTGCTGCAGCGCTTCGCATGCGTCTGCCAGCAGACAGGAGAGTTGGGGTTTTAACTATGAAAACCGAAAAAGGAGCACAGTGGTGTAACAGGGACAGCAGCTGCAGCAGCATGAACTCACCGCAGCAGCAGCTGCTGCTGCTGCAGCTGCTGCGTCTGCTGCTGCTAGGGTCGTGGCTGCATGCGGGGGGCCTCATCCTGCTGCTGCTGCTGCATGCCATGCATGCAGGGGGTTCTTGAAAGGATAATCTTCATATTATTTTTAGAAGGAGGGGCGACTCAGCAAGGGGTACATCAGCAGCAAGCCCGCGAGTCCGCAGCAGCAGCCGCAGCAGCAGCAGCAGCAGCAGCATCAGCAGCAGCAGCAGCAGCGAGCTCCCTTGAAAACCCAGGATGACCTCTGGGGCTTCCAAGTGTAGGGGGAGCTGCTGACTGGCGCCGAAGGCGCTGCTGCGTGGGCACCTGCTGCAGAGCAGCCGCTGCTGCTGCAGCCGCTGCTGCAGCAGCAGCAGCCGCTGCAGCTGCTGCAGTCGATGCAGGCACAGCAGCAGAAGCTGGAGGAGACGCCTCCGCTTCCTGCAGCGCTGGCGCTCACCTGAAGCATCTTTCAAGGGTTTATGAGGGCCGAAGACAGCGCAGGGGCCCCTGGGGCCCCGCAGCGGAAAGATTCGGGTGCAGCAGCAGCAGCAGCAGCGCCATCTGCTGTTGCTGGGGCTGCTGCAGCCACAGCCGCAGCAACAGACGGAACAGCGACGCTTAAAAAACGCAGCAGATGGGATCAGCGCCCAGCTCACCTTCAGCAGCAAACCCCGCAGCAGGAGCAAACACTGCAGCAGCAGCAGACACCGCAACAACAGCAGCAGCTGCTGCAGCAACACCAGCAGCATCCCCCCAGTGCAGCTCGGGGGTCGACAGGAGAAGGAGCTGCTGCAGGTGCCAGTAGCAGCAGCAACAGATACAACACCAGCAGCAACTACAGCAGCAGCAGAAACTACAGCAGCAGCAGCAGCTACGGCCACAGCAGCAGCAGCAGCAGCAGCAGCAGCAGCAGCAGCAGCTTTGGGGAGTACCGACAGGAGAGTGGAAGCAGAAGCTCTGCCCCTTTTCACGGCACAAGCCCTAATACCCCCAGCCATTGCAGCAGCAGCAGCAGAAGAAGAAGCAGCAGCAGGAGAAGAAGCAGCAGCAGGGACCGCCGCAGCAGCAGCACCAGGCACCAGAGCGGCAGGAGCAGCGGATGGGATTGTGTTACTCCAAGTGCAAGCGACAGCAGCAGCAGCAGCAGCAGCAGTAGCAGCAGCAGCAGTGCCCCCTTCAGAAGGGGCTTTGATGTGGGGCCAGAGGCCGCAGCAGCAATTCAGGCGTCTCCCTATCATCCCCTGTACAATCAGCAGCAGCAGCAGCAGCATCAGCGAGGAAGCAGCTACAGCAGATCGGCGCACTATTACAGTGAAAGCAAATTGCGAGAGAGAGCTGGCTGCAGCAGCAACAGGAGAAGCCGCAGCAGCAGCAGGGGTCGCCGCAGCCGCAGCAGGGGTCGCCGCAGCAGCAGCAGGGGTCGCCGCAGCAGCAGCAGGGGCCGCCGCAGCCGGAGCAGGGGTCGCCGCAGCCGCAGCATAAGCCGCCGCAGCAGCAGCAGGGGCCGGCGCAGCAGCAGCAGGGGTCGACGCAGCAGCAGCAGGGGTCGACGCAGCAGCAGCAGGGACCGCCGCAGCAGCAGCAGAAGCCGCTTGCCCCGGGGAAGAAGGCGGTGGGATGTTGTAGGTGACCTTCCTGCTGCTGCTGCTGCAGCTGCAGTGCAGCGGGGGGCCCCCACGCCCCCTCCTGCAGCAGCTGCGGTGCAGCGGGGGGCCCCCAAGCCCCCTTCAGCAGCAGCAGCAACAGCAGCAGACTGCAGCACGAAGGCAGCAGCAGCAGTCCCAACAGCAGCAGCAACTCCTGCTGCTGCAGAAGCAACTCCGCAATGGCAGAGCCCTTCCTGGAGGCCCGCTCCACCTTTGCTGCAGCAGCAACCGCAGCAGCACAGACCGCAACTGCTGCAGCAGGTGCAGCCGCAGCAAGGCATGCTGCACCATCAGCAGATGCAGCTGCAGCAGCTGCAGAAGCAGCAGATGCAGCAGGTGCAGCAGCAGCAGCTGCTGCTGCAGCGGCAACAACATATCATACAGTCGCCGGTACCAGCGCAACCATCTGGTTGGGCTTGCAGCGGCCCCGCTGCAGCTGCTGCTACTTCTGCTGCTGCTGCTCCTGCTACTTCTGCTGCTACTTCGGCTGCTGCTGCTGCTCCGGCGAGCCATTTGACTGTGGGTGGCGCAGCATCAACTGGCGTCGCTGCAGCAACTGCAGCAGAAGATCCGGAGGAGACAGCGCGGGTGTGGGGTGCAGCAGCAGCAGCAGAGATTCGCTCGCTTGCTGAGAGGGCAGACTTGTCTCTGCCTGCTGCTGATCCTGAAGACCCTTGGGGAGACAGCAGAGAGGTAGAGTTGCAGAAGCTTGAGGCGTGGGGCCGTGCTGCTGTTGCTGCTGCAGTGCAGCGCGGCCTTGGAGGCGCTGCTGCAGCAGACGCAGCACTCGCGGAGTATAAGAAAGTCCTGCTGCAGCAGCGCCAGGCCCTCGCTGCAGCAGGAACGCCAGTCAAAGATATGCACCTCTTCACCGACTCTCCCAGCAGCAAATCCCCGCAGCAGCAGCAGCAGCAGCAGCAGCAGCAGCGAGGCAATCGTTCACAGAGCCGTGGAAGAGACAGCGGGATAAGATCTAAGAGACGCTCATTGAGTCCCCATGAAGCAGCTAAACCAGCAGCAGCTGCAGCAACTGCAGCAACAAGGACCAAAGGAAAAGCACCAACAACAGCAGCAAGGAAGCTACCGTTTGCTGAGCGGCAGCGAGACAAAGAGTCTGCTGCTGCTGCTGCTGCTGCTGCTACAAGAAGTGCAGCAGCAGCGGCAGATGGCGGTGGAAGCAGTCCCACCGAAGCAGTTGATTCTACTCAGCAGCAGGAGGAAGCTGCTGCTGCTGCTGCTGCTGCTGAGGAGCTGGAACCGAAGGGAGCCGCTGCTGAGCAGCAGCCGCGCAGCAGTTTAGTCAAAAAGGGGAAGCCAAGCGGTGCCGCTGCAGCAGCAGCAGCAGCAGCAACAGCAGCGGCAGCAACTGTAGCACCTACAGCAGCTGAAGAAGAAGGATCACTAAAGAGGGACCCTGCAAACGCGGCAGCAGATGCAGGAGCAGCAGCAGCTGCTGCTGCAAAAGCAGCAGAAACAGCTGCAACAGCAGCAGAAACAGCTGCAACAGCAGCAGAAACAGCTGCAACAGCAGCAGCAGCAACGGAAATGGATGTCGTAGAAGACAGGGACTATAAACGTAGCGAAGACATCGACAATTCTGAAGCTTCTGCTGTAGTTGCTGCTGCTGCTGTTGCTGCTACTGCAGCTGAGGCTGAGGCAGCGGTGGGCCCCACACCAGGTGCTAGTTCTTCACAGGATACAAACAAACAGCAGCAGCAGCAGCTAGAAGGAGCGGAAGAGGCATCGAAGCAGCAAAGTCTTGAAGACGCCGACGGAGCAGAGGCAGCAGATGCACCAACGGCACAGCAGCAGGAGGAGCAGCAGGTGCAGCAGGAAACGCAGCAGGAGGAGGAGCAGCAGCAGCAGCAGGACCATCAGGAACGCCCGCCTGCTCAACAGGAAGCTGAGAAGAAGAGGGAGGAGATCGAAGAGCAGCAGCAGCAGCAGCAACAACAACAGCAGCCGCAGCAACCGGAGCAACAGCAGGAGCAGCAGGGAGAGGAGTCGCTGCCTGCAAAGAAGGGGAAGACTCAGAAGGCAGCGGCAGCAGCCAAATCCAACAGCAGCAGCAGCAGCGCTAGCAGCAAGAAGAGAAGCAGCAAGTCAGGTGAAATTCGGGTGTCTCGGGAGCTGTGGGGTTTGCTGCAGGAGAACTACCAGCCTATAGAGCCGCGTAGGAGTGCAGCACGGAGCAGCAGCAGCAGCAGCAGCAGTAGCAGCAGCAGCAGCAGCGCGAGTACATCAGCAGGTCGCAGCAGCCAGACGAAGAGCGCTGAAGCTCCCTTGAAAAAGGAGCCGAAGCAGCAACAGCAGCAGCAGCAGCAGCAGCAGCCCAAGTCTCACGAAAAGCAGCAGCAACAAAAGCAGCAAGTGAAACAGCAGCAGCAGAAAGAGCAGCAACAGAAGCAGCAGCAGCCATTAGCAGCCGAGGGAGAGACAGCAGCGAGCGGCCGAGCCGCTTCTTCGAGAGCAGCAGCAGCAGCAGCAACAACAACAGCAGCAGGTGAGGCAGCAGCAGCGGAGGCCCAGCTGGAGAAGCAGCAGGGGAGTAGACCGGCGGCACCAGCGCGGGGCAAGGCAGCAGCAGCAGCAGCAACAACAACAACAACAGAAGCAGCAGCATCACCTGTAGTAAAGGCGGAACTGCGCCCAGCATCCCCTCTAACAGCAGCAGCAGCAGCAGCAGCAGATGCACCGGAGTCTGCTGCAGCGGAGGCAGCGGAGCCTGCGCCGCCTTTGAAGGGCCCTCAAGACACAAGTAAGGCATACACCCTCCGTTGTTGCTGCACCTGCGGCTGCTGCCTTTGCTGCTGATGATGCTGTCGGTGGCTTCGCTGCTGCTGGTAGTGCTACGATTGTTGCTGCTGCTGCACTTGGTGCTGCTGCTGCTTCACTTTAACTCTGGGCTTCGTCTTTACGCTTGCCGTTCGGGTTGCTGCTGCTTCGCGTTGTGCTGCATTTGCTGCTGCTTGTGGTGCTGCGTTTGCTGCTGCGTCTGCGTTTGCTGCAGCAGCTGCTACTGCTGCAGCAGAAGGTGAAGGCTTGGAGTCGCTGCTGGCTGCTGCTGGCATTCGCCTAACACGGACGATGCTGAAGCAGCTGCAAGAACCAGCGGACCCTCAACAACAACAGCAGCAGCAACAGCAGCAGCAGCAGCGACAGCAACCTGCACAGCGGCCAGCCAAGCCTGCAGCACCGAAGCCAGCAGCAGCAGCAGCAACAGCAAAAGAGAAGGAGGCCCCAGAGGATCCCTTCGCTGCCTACGGGCAGAAGCTGGAGTTTCGTGAAGATAGACAAGGTGCGGCGTAACTCTCGCTCTATCAGCTAGCTGTAGCTAGCTGTAGCTCGCTGTAGCTAGCTGCAGGTATCTATAGCCCTCGCGACTTGCTGTAGCTAGCTGCAACTTGCTGTAGGTAGCTATCGCCCTCGCAGGTAGCTGCAGCTAGCTGTAGTTCTCCAGAGCTAAGTGTAGCTAGCTGCAGCCAGCTGCAGCTAGCGCTAGCTATCCATTAGTAGGCACAGCCAGCCACAGCTAGGTGAGTGCAACTAGATGTAGATAGCTGCAGCTAGCTGTAGCTAGCTCTAGCGTGTCGTAGTTACTTGCACTCACCTTGAGCTACCAGCACTCACCTACAGCTAACTGCAGCTAGCCGTAGCTAGCCGTAGCTAGCTGTAGCTAGCCAGATAGAAGTCTTAGACGTATGCGAGCTGCGTGTTTCCTACTCACACCTTAACAAGGTGTGGTGTCTGCGTCTCTCCTCTGTTCCAACCCTTCATTCTCTTTCTCCTCTTGCTGCTGCTGCTGCTGCTGCTGCTGCTGCTGCTGCTGCTGCTGCTGCTGTTCAGTGTTTGCGTACATAGGGTGCCGCGTACGAGTGGTGCGGGCGTGGAGAGAGCGACAGAGCACAGACTCATACGATTGGGCCGAAGGCATTTTGAAGTTTTATTTGCCCAAGTATAGAGCTGTCTTTATTCATTTTCTGCTCTGCAGCAGCAAGCAAGACATCTGCACTCCAGCAGATGCACCGTCGCTGCTGCTGCAAGGAGACAGTCTCCCTCTCTCCCCCGAAGAGACACATAGAGGGTGGTTCTCTATTACCACAGATATTATTCGGCTTGTAAGCAGCACTCCTGTATGGAGACGCCCTGATTTGTTTCTCCCGCTGCAGCAGCAAAAAGATAAAACACTCCCGCTCAAACACATCCAGCAGCAGCAGCAGCAGCAGCAGCAGCAGCAGCTAACCGATGCCGCTCCAGCAGCAACAGAAGCACCAGCAGAAATGCTACAGGATGCACAAGACCCCCAAAAAAGCAGTCCTACTGACAGCAGCTGTGACAGCGCCTGCACCAGCAGCACCAGCAGCAGCAGGAGCAGCAGCAGCAGCAGCACCCATCGATGCCGCAGCTGCAGCAGGCCTGTTTACTACATCATGACCCCTGGGCAGCTTGTGGAGGCGCCTCCCGATGTCGATCCCGCGGAGCTGCTAGCAAGTTATCCTTCTTGGGTGCAGCCCACAGACGCTGCCCGTGCTGCAGCAGCAGCAGCAGCAGCAGCAGCAGAAGCAGCAGCAACAGCAGCAGCAGATGCAAGCGTAGGATCAGGTGCAGCAACAGGAGCACTGGCTACAGCGCCAACCACAACTGCAACCAGCACTGCTACCAGCAGCAGTACCAGCAGCAGCAGCAGCAGCAGCAGCAGCATGTCGGTATCTGGTTGCTCTGAAGGCACTGCGGAGTCGGGGGAGGCTGCATTGAATCTCTTCTGGGGTTTGCAGTGCAGCTGCTGCCAGCGCGTCTTTCATGCTGCTTGCATCCGACCGGCACACAGACGAATCGCCACTGGGGGGTGCGCTTAGGGTTTAGGGTTTAGGGTTTAGGGTTTAGGGCGGGGGGCTTAAGGGATAGGGTTTAGGGGTTTAAGGTTAAGGGGCTATGCTTAGGGTTTGGCGCTGGGGGATTAGGGGCTAAGAGAAGGGTTTAGTGGTTAGGGTTTAGGGTTTAGGGTTTGAGAAGCGTGAGGGCTCAGTGCTGCGGTATACACCGCAACAGATAGAGAGAGAAGGGCTCACGTAGTGTCGCGTGCATGCGGAAGACTAGCTGCTGCTGCTGCTGCTACTGCTGCTGCTGCCAGCTGCCTTTTCTGCTGCTGCTGCCGCGGGTTGTTTCTCGTTTTGCTTCCGGTGGTCGTTTTCTGTGCTGCTATCTCGCAGCAGCATTAGCAGCAGCAGGAGACGAAGCTGCTGGCATCCCTGTTATAGCTACTACTGTTGTTGTTGTTGCTGCTGCTGCTGCACAGGATGTCTCCTCACGCGCTGTGTATGGAGGCAGCGCGGCACCGGAAGCTCGTAGCAGAGCGGGAGGCGGCGATAGAGCGGCATAAGAAGGAGAGAGAAGCAGCAGCAGAAGGCAGCAGCAGAAGGAGCAGCAGCAGCAGCAGCAGCAGCAACAGAGAAAGCAAGTACTACCGCTACGAGGCTGTCCCTTCACAGGCTGCTGAACAGCAGCACCAGCAACACCAGCAGCAGCAAGATTCGCTTGAGGATGGCGGAGCTCTGGGGTCGCTGCTGCTGCAGCAGCAATCGGAAGAAGGCGCCGATGACGCAGGTACGTCTCTCAGCTAGACAGGCTGCTGCTGGTGCTGTTGCTGCTTCAATACTCAGTGCAGGGGTTCTGCTGCCGTAGAGTTGTGTGCCCGTGTGGGTGTATTGCGGCGCTGTTGCCTCCTCTTCCCAAGAGCAGCAGCACCAGCAGCAACACCAGCAGCAGCAGCAGCAGCAACACCAGCAGCAGCAGCAGCAGCAACACCAGCAGCAGCAAGAGCAACATTAGCAGCAGTAGCAGCAGGATCCTTAGCTACAGCAGGGCATCTGAATTCTCCTCACTATCACAGCAGCAGCAGCAGCAGCAGCAGCAGCAGCAGCAAGGTGGTGTGCTATTGCGTGTGTGTTGCGGTGCTGCAGCAAGCGGCTGGCCCCTATCGCCTAGCAGCGTGGTGTATGATCGAGGGAGGAAAGCATTTATAAGTACTTTTATTGTTCCTGGGCGTTCATTGGCTTTGCCTTTGGGTTTATCTGCTGCTGCTCGTGCAGGTTTGCTGCAGGGCTTCCGGCGGCAGCAAGAGGCGCGGCTGCTGCGGCGCTCCTTCTCTCTTAGTCGCTTCTGTACACTCCCGCTTGCATTTTCAAGAGCTCAATCTGCTCTCCTCTCTAGACAAGGTTCCCTTCATTGGAGGCT